ACATAGATAATTAAAAGTCTAAAAAACAGTTAAAATGGAACATTTTACCATAATATCCAAAAATTTGAAAGAAAAGAGAACTACTTTTTAAGGGCTGGAATTAGTAAATAATTTTTTTCCTCCCAAAAAATTCCGATTTAAGTTGTTTTTACCCACTTTAAGCAACTCTATTTTTTTCCCAAAAAAAATAAAAAGAATGTATAACAATAATAATAGAGCCATTAGTGACTTTATCAATAACAAAATGATCTTTTTCAAATTAAATTTAAACACACTTAATACAAATTTAATTTTTTTAATATCATAATCATTTGAGCCAACTTACTTACAATCCTGTAATTCCAACATAATAATTTATCAAACTCTATAATATTTAATCATCAACGAATTCTTAGAATTTTATCATAGATTAGACAACATCTAGCTTAATTGATGTCAATCTATAGATTAATTGAATAATTAAGCTTACACATGACGTCAATCTATAGATTTATAGAAAATTAAACTTTATTTTACCATGATTATGAAGCATAATAAGCTTCGAATATTAATTAAATAAATATTTAAAGATAAGATAGGGAGGGTAAAATGGACTTTTGAGCCTCCTCTAATAATTTAATAGTAAGAGGGAGAGAAAATCAGACAATGTCACTTATCAAACGTCTGTGTGTGTTGTAATGTCTCTCTAATAACATCTTTGAAGCCCCTTCCACTGTTCTTCGCCATGTCTGCGTCACACAAAACTCAAAATAATTTTATTTATTATTAAAAAATATATTTAAATATTACTTCTTATCCAATTTAATACAAACTTCGCGAGTTAGTTAGTAAAATGTTATGCTAAAATTGACTTTTTAATAATTACGAGAACAAAAATAGATGTTTTGAAAGTATAGAAATTGAAATGAACAAAATTTGAAAATACATCCATCGAAAATTAAATCTGTTTTAACTTATTAGAAAATTAATTGTTCCGTAGAACAAATTATACATATACACCATAGGAACTAATATAAATTGTGCTTAATATAACTTTTGCTGTTTTATCTGTTTAGTCCTTATTATTTAAAAGTTTCATTTTTTTTTTACATTTTAATATTTTTAGATTATATATTTATATTGAATAGCAGTGAGGATAAGATTGGTCTTGCTTGTTAAACAAATCGAGTATTTTCTTTAGTATAATTATGGAAAATGGATATTTTTATTATTTTATTATTATTATTATTTTTTTCTCTCTTCATGGGCCACTCTAATCACCTCCTTAATCAAACAACCCAATGTCAATCAAAATTTTCTTTAATTTTCATTTTCATTGCTTTTCCTTCCCTCCAAACAAAAAGAAAGTGGCATGTTAAATCAATCACCACCACTATATACTTTGAAGCTCACATTTCTAAATTAGGATGAAACTTAATTATCTATATATTTATTTTTAATATCCTTTCATATAGCCTTCAAAAAAAAAAAAAAAAAAAACTTTCATATAGACCCTAGTGCAATAAATTTAAAAGAAAAAACAGTTAATTGTTTCCTCATTTTCAATTCTATCTGATGAATGTTGTTGTGGAATTAATACTTCCTTTCAAAAATAAATTTAGAATTTGTTTATCACTCCATAAAAAAATCACATAAAATATAACCAATAAAATCCTCCGAATCAAGTCAAAAAGTAACCTAATCTAAAGATGATTAAAAACCCAAAACTTATATAGCAATTCTAAATTTTTCGAGTACAATACGTGGAATGGAAATTCGAATTAAGGATTATTTAACCAATTTCAAAAATTCATTCTTATTATATTATTTTTGGTTTCTAGTTCAATAACATGATTAAACTAAAATCAACCCATTAATAAAATTTGGATTTAACTAAAATAACACAAAAAGAAGTGGGGGAATTTCAAATTGAAATTGAAATTGAAATAAAATGAAAAGTTTACCTTTTGAATGGCTCCAAGGATAGACTTGTTTCTGAAATCCCTAACCCTCAGCGGCTGAGACCTTCCATTTCCAATCCCAAATTTGTTCCTCCCCGCCGCCGGAATCAGCCGCCGCCGCTCAACAACTCCGCCGCCGCCAACGCCGCCAACAGGGCTCTCGCACTGCTCAATATTTTCCCTCACAATCCGGCCCCTCCTCCGCCGCGGCTTCGCCACCGCCACCGCCCCCACTTCAGCAAATTTCCTCAGCAGCTCGTCGGAGGACTTCTTCGTCACGTGCTGAACGCTGCTATTAACCACAATCGAAGAATCCATTCTAGAGAGAGAGGAGAGAGGGGGAGAGAGAACAAAAAAAAAAAAATAAAAAACTGTAGAGTGAGAAACGAAGGTGGCTTTGGGTTGGAAATAAAGAGGAAATTAAGCCGTTGTGGTGTAGGTGTTAGTGAACAATTTTGTTTTTATTTGTTGTTTAAAAAAAGTTGATAGAATATAGCCGTTGCGGAATGAATAATTGAGGATACGAAGAAGACAATTTAATTACTCTGTTTTATTTATTTATTTTTTAATTTTCTCCCACGTTCTTGCTGACACCGATCTGATTCCTTTGACCGACGGCGACGTAACTAACGGATCTGGTCTACGCTCCTCACCGGTCGGGTCGGGTCGGATCATATATTTCGAGTTCCAGACCTTTGTTAAATTAATTGGCCAATTGGGATCCTAATTATGTGAATTCATTGTTTTTTTTAAACGCTTTTGGCCGTACTTTCACTAAAATAACGATTTAATACCTGAACTTTAGCTTGTAACGATTTAACCTTTATACTTTCGAATTGATAACAATTTAGTCATTGAATTTTAATATGTGACAATTTAGTCATTGTCATTTAAATATGAAATTTTTTTTGTTAAGTTTGTTATATATATAGATTAATAAATTAAGGAGTGACCAAATATATTTATAAATTAGAAAAATTAAATTGTTATAGGATAAAACTTGACACTTAATCTTTTTTTACAATAAGGACTAAATTGTTACAAATTTTAAACTACAGGGATTAAATCGTTACAAACTAAAATTTAGGAACTAAATTGTTTAGGAACTAAATCGTTTTTTAGTAAAAGTTCAAGGATCAAATGTGATTTTTAACCTTTTTATTTAATGTTGTTTGTTTAGTAATATATTTCTAACTACTAAATATTTAGTTTAATATAAAATATTATTAATTAATTTATTGATATATATGTTATATAAGCTCGATTTTATTCTCAATTTTAATATGTTTTTTACCCATGTGTATAAATGTTAACTAATATTTACCCCTTAATAATTGTGTTAAATATTCTTTAGGATTTTGAAAGTTTGATATTAGTTCAAGGACGAGTTTTCGTCGAGCAAAATTAGGTTTGTAATATATATATTACTTGTATTTTGTGTATAATATTCTTCTTGGCTGGTTGGTTTCAAGGGTGTCTAGCATTCCCACAAATTTAATTACACCCTCAATCCCACATTGAATAAAGTAATTTTGTAGGCATGTTTGACTAGTGTTAAAATATTCTTTAAGGTTTTGAAATTTTGATATTTTCATATTCTATGAATTGATTTTGAATATTATTTTGGTTGAAATTCTGTACCACAAATTTGATTTAAAAATTCAAACTTATGACCCCTAGAAGTACATTTACTACCCAATTACGTTGAAGTTGCAAAACTTTGGTTAGATTCATAGTCAATTATGAAACTACATTAACTTGTTCGAGTAAACTCATGAAATGTTAATATCCCAAATAAGTAATAGCCAAATAGGTGATAGGCTATCATGAGATTCGAACCCGTGGTCCAAAAATCTTTTTACTTTTTCAGATGCTCCAATACCATTTGGCCAACCATTAAACTAATATATTTAGCATTCAAGCCATATGTGTGTTACAACCAAGAAAAAGCAAATGCTTTTATGG